AGAAAACACACCAGGCTCATGTCAGGCCACTTCTAGGCAATTATTACGTGGTGGCCCAGAAAACCAAACTTTCAAAAGTTAGGCCACCACTGTAAAAATGAATTCGCCTTGAAACATTTTTCGAATAACTCCTCGAGGAATTCCTCGAAATTTTTCGAGAAATTTCTCGAGGAATTTTTCGAGAAATTTCTCGAAAATTTTATCGAAGTAGTGTCGAAAGGACACACTGTTCAAGAGATAACAAAAATCTATCAACTGATAAAAAATGTTTGTCATAATATCTCAGCAAATTTTTGGCACATGTGCCGCTACTTGGGGCACCGGTGCCGCTGCAACGCGGTAATCGTGCCCGGGGGGTCGGGGCACGCATGCGTTTTGCGTGCCGTTGCCGTGCCGTTGCCGTGCTCATGTGTGCCGTTTTTTGAATTTTTTTCTTTGGAATCGGGTGTTTTAATCGATTTACCTATTATCAAACAGTTTATTACATTATAAACTCAATAAAAAGGATAACAACAAAAATTAGAACATTTAAAAGATTAGAAAATTTAAATTTGTAGGGAAGATTCCGAAGAGTGTGGTGATGAGGTTGATGAATTTTGATGAATCTAAGTTTCTTCCTCCTCTTCTCCAGCGTCATTGATCTCGGGCTTGGCTTTGTGTCTCTGACCTGAAAAATAGGAACTAACACTATTTTCAAATATTTTTGAACTTTGTATTTTCAAACAACAATGTTCCGTTTTCACATATTGCCCCCAACTTACATATTACACTTGAAATATTCCTCGTTGCTGGTCGGAAACTAATTTCTCAATCTTCGTTATCTCTCCACTGTCCAACGTATTCCCTTCTCGTCTCCATAACTGAAAAGATTTTCGATATCATTGTCACTTGAACATGTCTCAACTCACCGATTTCCCTTCGGTGCCTTTCCAACTCTTTCCGACTTTCCAACATTTGCTACACCAACTGTCTGAAAACTAAACAGAGATACATTTCATGATTTTCCACCGGAAAAGACGAGAAAACAAATCTAAAAAACCATAAAACGATGAAAATATGAATTTATGAAAATAAAACGCATTTTCGAAACTCAATGAATAGACACGAGATGCGCAGATGGTTCAAGAAGGGGCACGGCACCGGCACGGTAGCGGCACGCCATACGCGCGCTAGGGGCACGGTTGAGGTGTTCCAAGGGCACTTTAAACGCGGCACTGTGCCGTTTTGAAGCAAATCCTGTGCCCCTCTGTGCCCCAGCGTGCCGAAAATTTGCTGAGATCACCATCATTTTATCAGTCGGTACATTATTGACATCTTGCTAAGGAATTGAGATATCTGAGCTTAACGTTTACTGGAGATCAATTCAGGTTCCATCAACCTTCTCCAACTCTTCCGTCCGCCAATCTCTGGTAAACCTAATGGACCGCTTCCTCAGAATGTGCTCCCCGAGATCAAAACCGCAAAAGTCTTGTTTTTGAACTGGAGAAAGAATACTGACACAGAGAAAGCCACTAGCAAGGCTTTGAGAGGTTGTTTAAACACAAAAAGATGTGTTATATGCATTTTTTTTTAGAAGAGGAATGGAAAGAAATGTCTGAAACAGATCGGAATAAGTGGTACAAAAGGGAAGAGGCATTGTTCGAGGAGTCTTTGGTCCAGTTGAGGAAAGGATTCATTCGGACAACTTTACTACGGTAACCTATGCGTTGATAATTCTTGATAACTTTCTGATTATCCTTGATAATATTATGTTCTATGTTCTTCTCTTATTTCGAAATTCTTGTTCGATACCTTCCTATTCTTTTTTTCTGCTATTCTTCGCATGATTACAACCGGCTGAACTTCTTCTGACATTTCTTTATGACCTCCTTTTTTGAATTTTTTAGGTCACCACCTAATTTTTCGGATTTTTTAGATCATGACCTTTTTTATTTTTATTTCTCGGATCTTCTGAGTCATATCCTAATTTTTGGGATTTTCCAAGTCATGACCTACCTAACTTGACGAACCTCATTCTCAGCGCTCTCAGCGCAGCGCTTGTCCTCGTATTCAAGTATATTCCGAAATGAAGTTTTAATAAAAATTGCTAACCTTGAAACCAACAATTTTATATTCGATTCCCTGTTTTCCAGATGAATCTCTTTTCCTTCCACTTCCCCTTTTTCCAAATCTGAATTCTCGATTTAACAAAAAAAAGAAAGAGTACGATGACACACCACCTATGAAGCAGTGTGTGATTAATGGATTTTCCATTTGTCAAATGAAGCAGAACCACCGTATCCCCCCATCCTCGTAAACAAAGAAAACATCATAAAAAGAAAAGCACTTTCGTAATAAAATGACGCCTAAAAGGGAAGCGATTTTTTTGAAGTTTTCGAAGAACCACCTCTATTTTTTTAGCCAACCTATAGTTGGACTGCCCTTTGTTCTCCAGTCTCTTTTTTTCTAGAACTTTCTCAGTAACACGGTTTTGATTTAATCCCATTTCAGAGAGCTCGTAAATTTACTAATTTTAAACTCCCAGCATGCCTGCTGAAAACCTGCTCAAAGAGTTTTTCATGGATTCAGATCCCAATGGCTCACCAACTCAAAATTCAGATGCTGGATGTTTAGGCAAGTTCTCTGAATCTTTAGCTTTAACAAAGTATGACTTTCAGATGCTCCAACCTCCACAACTTCACAGATTTGGGATATCAACCAAAGTTGGACTGGCACACCACTTCCTTCGATTTCTATATTCTCGAGTTCTCCGAACATGAGCAATGCTCTAAACCATTTGATGGCTCAGATGCCTGAACCTCTTCTCACTGTTTCTGGGGAATTTTTCGACCCAATTAGCATTCAACAAAATCATGGGACATCTTCTGGATTCTGGGATTCTAACCAATTCCAAGAGCCAGTTGTTCAAAACTGGGAGGACTTTGGAGATCCAGATTTCTCATATCAGCTGGGCAACGTTCAAAGCGTGGGAGCGTTTGAAGTACCAGATGACGTCACTTCTGACTCTCCGAATTCTGGGAGTATAAACGACAACCTGAGTCTTCTGGATCCAACACCAATGTCAACTGAGCAAGAGTTTCCAGGGAAACAAAATTTATTTTCCGCAAGCACACCGATCTACAAGGAATCCCTTATTTCCAACTCATCTGATCCAGAACCAATGTATTCTGAAGGTCCATTTCCAGTGAGTTCACAGATCCAAGAACCTGAAAATTCGCCAGAAGTGAAAAGACCCAAAAAACGATGTCTTACCCCAATCTATTCCCTCATCCTTGGGCCAACTCCCGACGTCCAAAACATGACGGAACTAGTTAGTTACCGTTCTTTTCGAACCAAATACCATGCTCATATGAAAATCGCACCACCTGTGAAAATCGGAAGTCAGGAGTATGACCAAAGATACAAGGAAGCTTGTAAGAGAGCTGAAAATTCTCCAGTCTATCACGATGAGAAAATTGGTGAGTGTTCATACGGGAAATGCATTTTCGAACTTAAAAGGCTTCAGTTTGTCTGAGCTGCCTGTTCGATCCCACTAGTCCGGAACCTATTCCACAGGAAGTCGTCAATCCAGTTGACGCAGCAATGTGCTACAAGTTATGGCGTGTGAACAACTATTCGTCAATGTGGTGTGCTAGTAAGTTTATTAGGTCTGTCGAAAATCGACGACCGCCGACCGATTGAGCTGACCGAGCTGACCGATCGCTCGTAATTTTTTTACAGTTCAAGAATGGAAAGTGATCGTGAAGAACTTCGATTTTTACAAAGAATGGGCTATTCGAGCGTCGGATCTGTTCACAGAGCATGTGAAGCAAAAAGAACTTGGATATATTGTTGTAAGAGTGAAGCAGAAGGCAAGCAGAAAACGTCTTCAAGCAATTGTGACCGAGGAATGAGACCAAAACTTGTTTATTCGATTTTTAAAAAGTATTTGCTTTGCGTGTTTGCTTATAACTTGATTTCTGTCTGTAATTCTTTTCCAAAGATTTTTTAAATTTTGAATCTGCTGTCTTGAAATAGTGCCACTTTTCTAGAACTTCTTTATGAATAAACTGTTCCACTGCTTTCATCAAAAGTAGGTTATAGGGGAAGACAGAGAATCAGAGAACAAACGTACCCTACCACCTGTAATAGAAGGGCCGCTGCACTGTCAAATTTGGTTTAATTTATCTCGGCTCATATGAGAGATATCAAAATTTTGTCAACTGATAAAATGTTTGTGTATTTTTGATAAACAGTTTATTAGTTGACAACTTTTCAATAACTTTGTAAGGAACCGAGATAATTGAGCTCAAACTTGGCAAGTCTCTTTTTAGCGCACCACCTTGGGCGTCGTGATTAATGTAGCTTGCCTTGTCAAAAAATGTCGAGAAGATGAGACATCGTAACCCAGTCGCATAAAGGGAAGATTCAGGAGGAAAGACCTGTCACAATTAGATTCGCCTCTTTTTCTCGGACCCTCTCGTTTTTCCAAAATCTTGAAATGGACCAATTGTTGCAAAATAGGCTCCGCCCTCATTTTTTAAAATGTTTCTTCAGCTCTTAAATCGAAGAAAACCTTCAAGTCTTCAGAGTTCAACAAATGACTTCTAACAATTTGTTCGATGGGTTTTCTCTTGCTCCGTATATCCCAAACGATCCAAATGCGCTGAATTCAGAGCTGATAACACAATTTCGGTCTATAGCTCAAGATTTCTCGAGAACACAAATCTCAACTGGCTCTCAGCAGCAGGTGAATCCGATTCCATTGCCTTAGCCCAGTAAGTTTTAAGAAAAAACTTCATAATATTGCTGAATCGCATTTCAGATCTCTCCACCCTATCACCAGGACACCTAGCTCCCAGTCTAGACCCTCTTGAGATTCTCAAAAGACTTTCACCAAACAAAATAGTGCCGAAGAAAGAAGAAAAGTACCTTCCTCCAGGAAAACCATCTATGTATCCGCCAACCTCGAAGTTCCCATCCTATTATTGTGAGTTTCCATTCTCTAAACTTTGCTCGACTCTATTTGACTCTTTCAGACAGTTCGAAACACTGGGCCGGACTTTTAGCACCAGCCGAAAAAGCCATGTCGTTCTTGGGGCAACCAGAAAACCAAACTTCCACTGATCTGACTCTATCCCTACATGATCGGATGCTTCCTCCCGATGTTTCACAAAGAAAATGCAAGAGGATATCCCCAAATCTAGTTTTCCAGCTAGAACTAAAGCGAGCTAAACAAAAGGAAGCGATTGTTAGGAACCGGTTGATGCAAGGGGTTCCCCCTGGGACATTTAAGGACGCTTATGACCATTACTAAGACCAGAAATGCGTCAGGATCCTATCCTTAGTAATATTTATGAATAAAATCAAGCTAAATCATACATTCAAATAATTCAGGGAAACTAATGCCACAGCTCAATGTCTTCGATCCCAGAAAAAGCAAACTTATGCCTCGAAGAGTACGAGAGAGGACTTTTACTGCTTTTCAACTGTTCAGCTACTGGCGTCGTATCGAGGGCCCTGAAGGACGAGAATCTAGAAGTGTGTTCTCTGAACTTGGCGGAAATTCCAGTTAGAAATATTTTCAGTAGAAGAATGGAAGCGATTGTCACCGGCTCAGATGGAGCCATGGTTTCTTCGAGAAGAAATGTTGTTCCAGGAGCTCAAGGTTCAGCTTGAGCTTGGTTCAGCTTGAGCTCTAATAAAAGCCCCTTTACTACCACTTTGAGCTCAATCATCTCGGTTCCTATCAGAGCTATCAAAAAGTTATTAACTGATAAAATATTTTTGATATTATGATGAACAATTTATCAGTTGACCAAATTTAGATTTCTCTGATAGGAACCGAGATAAGTAAGCCCAAAGTGCACTAAGGCTTTCACTAAAGCATTTACGGTTGCTATCTCGTACGTTGATTCTTCTCATGTTCCATTTCATTGTTCAAAGGAGCATTCTCTTGTCATGAATACCCAATGAAGTAAATTTTGACTGTGTGGGTGTTTAACCGCTCTTCCCCTAATGGCATCCCATCATTTCTCCAAACCGGGGGTGTTGGCATTTTACTGGATTTGAGAGCAAGAGTCCACCCACTCACCATTCTCCGTTTCTGGGTTCTTGGTTTTAAAAAAAGCTTCTCATCCATTCAATTGTCTTCGTCAACATACATTTGTAATTGTTTTTTTCTTCTGTCATAAACCTCAGCTTCAGGAACCAACAATTAATATTCAGCCAAGCTTTTTTCTTCATTTCGTTTTTTCTTGTCGCATTGCTTTATACATTTTTAGTACCTCTCGAGTTAATAAACCTTTTTTCGGTCACATTTTATTCCATTTTCAATCATATAAATAACTTTTAATCTAGTTTTTTAGCAATTTATTAAAGGGGGACTCCGACCAAAAATTTTTATTGCATTAAAATGTGTTAAAAGTTATCTATTTTCCGAATATTATTGCAAAAAATCTTTTAAAAAATCCGAAATCCCCGAAAAACGGCGTTGAAAAGGAAGAAAATTCAAAAAAAAGGTGCCGCCGGGGGACGAGGATTTTCAGCGAGAAACCTAGGCCACAGCACCTGACAGCCTTTTTTTCAAGTCTCCGACAGTGTTTTTTAACGTTTTTTACCTGTCGGAGATAAAAGCGAAACAAATCCGAAAAAATTGTCCGGTAAGAAAGTCGCGCCGCTCGCGTGGCCTAGGTTTCTCACTGAAAATCCTCGTCCCTCGGCGGCACATTTTTTTGAATTTTCTTCCTTTTCAACGCCGTTTTTCGGGGATTTCGGATTTTTTAAAAATTTTTTCGCAATAATATTCGGAAAATAGATAAATTTTAACACATTTTTATGCAATAAAAAATTTTGGTCGGAATCCCCCTTTAAGTCTAGAGTTGTTACAAAAAAAAGTAAAAATTGATCAAAAAAATCGTTGAGATTGATTTTTTCGCACCTTCTCTTCATATAGTAGTCTTTTCAGGGTTGTTTGTTTTTACGGAACAAGTTGCTAAAATGTCCAACGAATATGTTCCAGTTGTTGTACATCCAGTTCCTGAAGAATTAAAATTTCCTGATCAAATCCATTCGGTTACCCAGCTGGAACCCGTTCCACTAGATGCTGGTCTATCAGAAGCAGCTGGAGGTAAGCAAACTTTGAGCTCAATTATCTCGGTTCCTGTAAAAGATACAAAAAATCTCCTCCGAACTGGTCCCTAATCCCAAATTCTTCAATCAACCAGTCCTGGTCGATCGGCTCAAGACCTCTAACAAACAATTACCTGCCACCAACACTGGCTCCTTGTAAGTTTCTATCACATTTCTCAAATTTGACCTGAAAAGAACTTTCAGATAATTCCTGGGGTCTTCATATGGAACCGAGTACCTGGACGTTGAATTTCCCGATGTACAAAGGTCAAACTTCTTCTGACGGTTCTCCATCTAGCTCCAACGCGTCCTACGAAAGTTGGACAAACGAATTGATAAGACGAGGAGCAGCTAGCAAAACACAGAGAAATGATAAAAGTTAAATGACTTCAATTATCTCGGCTCTTATGAGAGTTATCTGTCAACTGATAAATCATTTATCATTTTATCACTAAAGTTTTATCAGTTGACAAACTTTTGATAGCTTTTAAAAGAACCGAGATAATTGAGCTCTAAAGCACATATAGGGCGGGCTTCTATTGGAGCATTTACTGTAAAAATTGGACAGCCGATATTTTGTCTATTTTCAGAACTGCACTGTGAAAGAAAAAGTATAACAAATGAAGAGATCGGTGCAAGGAGGGTAAGACAGGAACTCAAAAAGCGAAAGGAGAGTAGAAGAAACGAGAAGAGAGCAATTATCAGATGTCGATTGAAGATGAATTGCCCGCCAGCAAAATTTGAAGACGCTGTGGAGCACTTCAAGTCATCTGAATTATATAACGATCCATATCTCAGTGAGTTCGAAAAACTAGAAAGTTGTAGTTCGATTTTTCTAGAAGAGCTAGCTGGTCTTGACCTTTTTTACCCGGAATCCATTGATAAGACAATGCCTCAGCCAATAGAGATACGGGCAAAAACAGCGTTTGATTATTTCAATGCATGGAGAAGAAATCAATCACCGGACAGTACTGGACCCATGCGCAGTTGGTTTTATTAATTCGGACAATGTCATGTAGAAGCCAACGTTCACTTTGAGCTCAATTATCTCGGTTGCCATGAAAGATATAAAAATTGATAAACTGATGAAATGTTAATCTTAACATCAGCAATATTTTATCAGTTAACAGATTTTTGATATCTCTCACTAGAACCGAGATAGTTGAGCTCGAAGTGCAAGTATAGGGGTAATTTCTTCGCTGGCAGTTTCATAGATATTGTCGAAAATTCCGAGAAAAGAGCAAGATTTTTCAGAAAAAGAATGGCTGAAAATGACAGATCAGGAGCGGCAACGATGGTTGGAGAAAGAAGAAGCTGTCTTTGAGGAAATAAAGGTCCAGTTGAGACTTGGCTTTGTTACTATTCTGAAATACGAGCATGAAGAGATGGATGCTATAAAGAAGCTAGAAATAAAGAATCAAGAAGACAAATTCTGGAATATTTTTGCTGAAAATCTCAAGAAGTATCCACGTCATGATCTTGAACCATTCCCGTTTCATATTTATTTTTGATGATTCAGCTGTTTTAGAACTTCACCCAAAATTTGCTAACCGTTTCTTTTTTTTTTTTGAACCTTCGAAAATTCTGCAATAAAGATTTTCTTTTGGTCTTCAAAATAACCTTTGAATACGTCCTTTGATCATAAAGTGGCCCTTCCAGATCCCATTTAAAAAAAGTTTTTTTATTATTTGCCTACACATAAATCAATAAAGGCACACATACACTATCAAAGACAACCAGCATTCGTTCCTCCGTATTTTTTCTTTTAGTATACGTATAGATTTATTTTAAAGATTTCGCAATACATACAGAGACTGTTTGGAATTTTTGTAGTTCGAATTTTGTTGGAGTTATCGCCCGGCTATTTCGGTGCCTCTGGTTCAGACCACAGCATTCAAGAATGTATGATACTGTTGATCTTCTCGAGTTCTACAATTACTTGTTGATCCGGGCAGAAATTCATTTTTCGAACCGAGTCATGTGACTTCAAAAGGATATTGTGTTTTGGGTCCCCATGATCATGCTCTCCAAATTCTGGAAATCTACTCCAAGACTGAGCAATCACATCTACCTTATGCCAAATAGCGAGGGCCTGCGCTTGAACTCAACAACCCAACAGTTCTCTTTCTCTGCCGTCTCTGCTCCTTTCCTCACACTTTGATACTTGTCCTCCTCCTCAGGCAGCTAAATATATGTCTTCTCTTTTGTGCCCATCGCATAACCATTTTTCCCCCATTCTTCTTCAATTTGTTGATTTCCTGTAATTGCAAACGAGTAGAAGCCTTCTATTAGAGGTTTTCCGGTCCTTCCAAAAAGCTAAGCTTACAGAACAATAATGTCAATCATCCGTCCCACCTTGGTTTCTCCGGCGGTCTTCTTCAGCAATTTGCCAAGTGGGTACATGACTCCTCGTAAGTTACAGTATTCCTTAATTTTGCTTGATGTTTAGTTATGTTTTTCAGCATCACCATACGCCAACCTCTTCGAGGGACGCATTGTGGTTCTTGGAGATGATGGACCCTCCGCGTTCTATCAGTACGCGAACCTGAACCTCGAAGCGGACAGGGTCCATGGAGCAGTGGACCGGCTCAACGTGAGTTGTCAGCTACTGTACCCAAAACTTCTGTACTTTTCCAGAGAGCCCAATTGGCTCCGTGGTCACGAGTGTGGAAATCACACCAGTGCATTCCTCCGAGGGGTCCACTGCCCCATCGTCTCCACTCAATTTGGAAAGTCTTCATTTGGACGACGAGCCTGAAAGTCCTCTCTCCTCCACAGAGGGGCTCAACGGGGGCAGCGGCAGCGAGGCCGACGACGAAGGGGAGCCACAAGTGGTTGATGAGCACATGGATTGGGAGGACAACGTGTAAATTTTAATATTTTGACTTTTTGGTATGGATCATTGTCTAGGAAAACTTTTTTCGCCCCAAATGTTCAGCAGTTTCCGAAAATTCTTGTTTTTTCCCTGCTCCTAATTCTGAAGCATATCTCATATAACCATATGTCTGATCACTCAGTTGTGTTTAGATAGTGCCGCGTGTCCTTGATTTACAACCCTTTTTCCTGTATCTGTCACGCCGACAGCTTGTAAAAGTTTGGTAATATGAGAAGCCAGAAAGTGACAAGTACTTTTGAGATCAGGACATCGTAAATATGCGGTTGTAAATCTCGACACAAAGTTAAGTTACTGAGATATGATTAGTCTGATAACGATCATTTTCCTAAAATTTTGATAGCTGTATCCAGAATTGAACATGTCAGGAAGGGACCCTATACTTCCTTTTTGAGCTCAATGATCTCAATTTCTATGAGATTTCTATGATTTCTGTAAGACGTCTATCAAAAATTTGACAACTGATAGAATATTGGCAATAGTTTACATATTTTTGATAGCTCTCATAAAAACCGAGAAAATTGCGCTCAAAGTTGTGCATGACTTACAGTAATTCCTTTTGCACTTTGACCTCAATTATCTTGGATCCTGTAAAAGATATCAAAAAGCTGTGAATTGATAAAATATTGGCAATGTTATGATAAATAATTTATCAATTGACATATTTTTGATAGCTATTATAGGAAATGAGATCATTGAGCTCGAAATCAGATCTAATTTTTGCATTTTACATTTAAAACCCAAAAGAAGCCTTCCCAGTTTAAATCTAATCAAAACAGTCAATTTTTTTTTTGAACTCCCATTATTGCCATTTGTGATTTTTCTTTCTCGTGTTTTTTCATCCTATGCACCTGCTCTTCTGACATTTTCCCATTACAAAAACGACGATGTTTTATTTCCTTTTTCCCTTTTCTCCATGACGTCACCCCCAACACACCCCCCAGAAATGTTCAATTTTTCCTCTTCCTTTTTTGTTCTCCAAATCAATAATATATCAGCCCCAAAGTTTCCATTCCCTGAAAAACCTCCAAAAAATTATAATGGTTACTTTTTATGTTCCAATTCCCCCACTCAAATATCCAACGTGCTCTGGACTACCCTTGCCGCATTTGTTCTACGCATTTTGAGCTCAATTATCTCGGTTATTATAAAAGCTATCAAAATTTTGTAAACTGATAAAGTTTTAGTGATATTATGATAAACAATTTTTCAGTTGAAAATTGTTTGATATCTTTTGAATGAACCGAGATAATTGAGCTCAAAGTCTGATTTATTTTTTAAATTTTTTCCCTTGTTGCCAATAAAGTATATTTTTAAACTTCCAATTAAGAGCATCATTAGACCTCCCAGAAATTTCTGGCTCCTCCCCTTTTGACTCCATCTGCCACCGTGCTCCCTTTCACGACCTAATTAATGACCCTGTCCAAAAATGGGGGAACACGATGACACCCAAAAAATGTGCTACTCATTTGTCAAATAAAAAGGGGATGTGGGGTAGTACTAAAGTGAGAAAATGATAGATGGGAAGAGGAAGACAATGAAAAATGAGATGTGGTTTTTGCGGGAAAAAAAGTTAGAGCTTCTTGATTTTGGGGAAAAAAGGGACCGACATATAATGCTTACCCCATATGTGCACTTTGAGATCAATTATCTGGGTTCCTATGAGATATATAAAAAATGTGTTACCTGATAAAATGTTGATAATTTTATGGCAAGTAATTTATCAGTTGAACAATTCTTGATATCTTTTGAAGGAGCCGAGATAATTGAGCTCAAAGTGCACGTGTAGGATGAGCTTCCTCATATTACAGCAAAGCCGGTATTTGGGAAATGACAAAACCATAATTGTTTAAAAGTTTAAGTACTAGGCATTGATAAGGGGGTGATAATGATATTCAATGACCTCCCACCCTTTTTGAATCAATTATGACGCTGCAAATGTTGGCTTTGCAAACAATAGGCACTCTTTTTTGAATCATAAAAGCCATCTACCAATTTTTATCATAGTTTCAATTTGGAAAAAAATGCTCCACCGTCCAAAGCCTATTCCAATGTGTTTATTTGAAGCCTACTTCGACAAGGATGTTCCAGATCGTAAGTTCTGAAAAGAATCTGCAAAACCTATAATGTAAGGGCTTCCACACTGTCAAGTTTGAGCCCAATTATCTCGATACATGTGAGAAATAGCAAAAAATGTCAATTGGCAAAACACTTCTGATATTATGATAAGCAATTTATCAGTTGACCACATTTTCATATCTTTGACAGGAACAGAGATAAATTGGCTCAAAGTTAAAAGCTAGTAAGCCCTTCTATTACAAGTTTTACAGTATTACAACAGAATTTGAGAATCTCAGAATCCGGATATTCTAAAACAATGCCTTCTATAGTCGTTATTATTGAGGGAGACGGTCCTTCAGCATTCAAGCAGCGTCCGCCATCGGCAGTGATTCGTGAGTATACCAAAATCTTAAGGTTTTCTTTAAGATCCACGAATTTCAATTTCCAGGCCGAGAAATGTTCAAACTCCTGTTGCCGGAGCTTGTGAGGAAATACGCGATTCTGGGGTTATATCCTGGTAAAATAATCAAAAAATAAAACATAAAGCCTGAAAATTCGAGTTTGCAGTGCTCTCAAAAGGATCAGTGAGACTTGCCCTGAGACCAACACCCCGTGGTTCATCACCAACATCATCGGGGTCAATTGTTGCTGGATCCGCTGAACAAAGAATCTTCAAGATGCCAGGGCCTGAAATTCTCCAAGCAGTGTGGCCCCATCTGGTACGCGAGTCTGCCATTTATGGACTGATTCCAGGTAAAAGAACATGATAATTTTTATTTTCATTTTGGGATATTTTCAGTTTTGTCGAACGGAAGTGTCGGATTTGTCCCGCAATCAGTACCGTATGGTTTCAGTTTTGAAGGATTGGCTGCTGAGAAAATCGAAGCTGCTTCTTCTAGACAATCTGAACCTTGCTCAGTGTTGGATTGCATGGCTGGAAATACTGTTAGCTTCAAATAAACTTACTCTTGAAATTCTCAAAAATTCTGCTCTTAAAATTTTGATATGGTGTTTTTGCCCATCTCCTTTCTGACTTTCCCTGTTTTTTATAGTGATGCTTGTGATTTTCCTAATTTTCTTCAAATTGGCTGTGTTTCACACAATGAAATTCATCATGAAAATACCATAAAACTTTAAATACATAGAAGTGCCCTTAACTTTTATGTAACATTGAACATTTAACCAGCTGAACGATCCGTCAACTTCGAGCGCAAATATCTCATTTTCTCTAAAAGTTATCAAAAAGTTCAACTCAACTGATAATTTTTTCTCATATTGTCAGAAGTGTTTTGTCAGTTGGAACATTTTTGATACTTTGCCTAGGAATTGAGATAATTGAGCTCAAATTTGACAATGCGGTGGTCCTCCTATTAAAGGTAAGATTCCCATTGTTCTGATGGTTCGGATATAGTGTTTTTTTACTGATGCTTGTAGTTCTTCAAATTTTCATTCAAATTAAGTTTATGAAAAAAGTCTTATATTTCCTGGAAATTCTAAATTTCCAGCTCTAGTTTGAAAGTTCCTCTTTTATCATCAATAAATATTTTGAATCTCCCTAACACATCTTTCATGTGACCCAATAAGTTCAGTGACTAAATAATTATTGTTTTGAGTCATCTCAGAGACGCATTCAAAGAGATCATCAACTCCTTCCCCCTCATACAGAACGAGAGAGAGAGAGAGAGGGAGAGAGAGAGAGAGAAAGCTCGTGGTCTGTCTTTTTACCTCCTCTCCACTTTCTCTGCACTGTTCTCCTTCCTGCCCTTCTTCCTTCAATTTGTGTCTCCTCTTTCATCACCTCTTTTCCTTTTTAACAAACATATGTACAGTTTTGGCGCCTTAATTTTTGAATTTTAACTTTCAAAAATTCCTTTTAAAACCTTTTTCTTTCATATTCCTTCTGTCTTTAACCACTACCAACTTTTCAGGCAATGTCAATTAAACAATATGTTCTCGAGTTCCTCAACGGAGAGAAAATGATAAAGGCGATGCAGGAGGGTGAGTTTCAAACTTAGAAAAACATTTTAATTAATTTCATGATTTTTCAGGTGAGCCTGAGATGGCGAAACAGCACCAAGCCGCAACCATTGTGAAGTTCCAAAACGGTGGACCGTCCGACTTCAGAAAGGTGAAGCCAAAAGGTGAGTGTTGAGATTTTCCTTCTAAAACGCAACGTTTGTCTGAAAAAACTACAATATACCGTAAAATCTGTATTGATATTGCGCCTCTATTTGAATTGCCCCTCTAATAGACTTGCACCCCTTGCGGGCACTTGAAAAATAGACTTGCAGCCTTTAATTGAATTGCCCCCGTAATACAATTGCATCTCCAGCAGAATTGCGGCTCCGCCGGGAGTACTGTGCAATTTTTAGTCTGTGACACCGTGACGAACAATTGCACAGTTTTTTTCGAATTTCTTTTTTTTAAACTACCTACTTAATTTCTGATTTATTTTTATTTTTCTTTGTTTTTTTAACAATATTTTCCATTTATTGAAGCGAGCAACACGAGCAATGAGTTCTGAAGAAGTCCTCGAAGACGTGGAAAACGTAGAAGACGTGGAAGACGTGGAAAACGTGGAAGACGTGGAAGACGTGGAAAACGTGGAAGACGTGGAAAACGTGGAAGACGTGGAAGACGTTGAAAAAGTTGGTGGAAACTCTAGAAAGAGAAAGCGTGGAGCCCACCCCTTGGATTACAAGCTTACGGTGGTGATTTTGATACTAAACTTGCGGAATGGGTCCGAGAGCAAAGAGAAAAAAAGCTTCGTATTACTCGTATTGGAATCCAGAATCGCGCCAAGTCTATTTCAAATAGTGATATGAAGGTTTGAAAACAGATTACCTACTTGAGATTAAACATTAAATGTTGCAGTTCTCGAATGGATGGCTGGTTTCTTTTTTGAAGCGGCATGGATTTTCGAGTAGACGTGCTACAACAGTCTGTCAAAAACCGCCAGAGTTTTATGTGGAGAAAATAATTGACTTTCTCCTTTATGTGGAACGATTAATTACCATGAATAATTATGACAAAATTTTCGCATGTGATGAGACGGCGGTTTATCTGGATTGTTCGAATAGTTTGACTGTAGCGGATCGAGGATCTAAACAAGTCAGCACACTCAAAAATAACAAGCTAAACGTTTCAATTTCAGGTTTCAGTGAAAACCACGGGACACGAGAAATTGCATGTTACAGTAATGCTGTGCGCTCGATCAGACGGTTTTAAGTGCAAACCTTTTGTACTTCTTCCAAGAAAAAGACCAGTGCAAAGTATTGAGGAAACATTTAGAAAAACTTTGCAGTTGGTTTGGTGTGACAGAACATTTTTCAACGATGAAATCACAAAAACTTTTCTTGAAAAAGTTCTCGGTCACTCAATGTTCGGAAAAAGGTTGTTAGTATGGGACTCTTACCGTTGCCACATCAGTACAGACACTAAAAAAGTATTGAAACAACTGAGACTAGACACTGCGGTGATTCCTGGAGGATGCACAAAATTCTTACAAGTGAGTAGATTTTATTGAAACTTTGCGTGACCCGATTTTTCAGGCTCCAGATGTATATTGGAACGCAATGTTTAAATCTTTCATCAGAAAAGAGTACGAAGATTGGATGGTTCATGGAACGAAATCGTTCACCCCGGCGGGAAATATGCGTGCTCCCAGTATGGAAGTTTATTTGAAATGGATTCAATTGGCGTGGGAAAATATCCCGAAGGAATACATTGTAAGATCATTCAAAGGATGCGGATTAAAAAATGGAAGAAATGGCGAAGATGATGAGGCAATTCATTGTTTCAAGAAAGATGGAGAAATTCCAGAAGGCGTACAGTTATTGAAGACAAGACGAGCAGAACGAGAAATGGAAGAAATTCAGGAGATTTTGGGAGATATTGAAATTGAGGAAGACGATGGAGAAATGAACCATGCCGAGGAAGAAGACAATAACTATGACAGTGACGCCTCAATTTTTTGAATATTTTCCTTTTGTTGTGTTCAATTTGTTACTTTTTTGTTGATTTTCATAATAAAACTTTTTTTTTCAAAATTTTCGTAGTTTGAAAAATAGAATTGCAGCCTCTATTTGAATTGCCCCTCTAATAGAGTTGCACCCCTTGAGGTGACTTGAACAATAGACTTGCATGCAATATCAATACAGATTTTACGGTACTTCTTACTAAGGAAACTTTTCTGTGTGTCTGTGTGGGTGTGTGTCTCGGACATGGTGGGTAAAATTACTGATTTTAATAGAAGCCCACCCTATACGTATACTTTGAGTTCAGTTTTCCAGGTTCCTTTGAGAGATATAAAACATATGTCGACTGGAAAATTCTTTACCATAATATCATCAATTTTTTCCAGTTAACAGATTGTCATTACTTATGAGACGCAAGATAGTTGAGCTCAAAGTGCATGTACAGGGTGGGCTTCTTTTAGAGCTAAAACGGTATGCAACCTTTTCAAGTGCCAAAAAAAAGATTAGTTGGAATGTTTCAGATACAACATCCTTTGCTTCACAATCTACTTCTTCAACTTCATCAAACGTTATTCCAGTTGCTCTCCCAAAACCAGCCGAATCTCAAAAAAGTTATCCTAAAATTTCACAGCCCATTGATCCAAGTACCGTGGAGCTGTTTACGGATTCTGAAGAAGATGGTGACAATTCTTGCTAGACGATTTTTATTAATTCGTCATTTTCAGAAGCCGGTCCGTCAGCAACTTTGGCTCCTACCACGTCATCTTCGTCTTCGCCTCCTTCGTCTTTGTCTCCGCCGGAGAACCTTGCCACGTCGTCGGCACCTGCTCCAGGAGTATAATTGATGATTTTTTATTGTCTTCTGTTTCCCAGTTTCCCATACTTTTTGTGTCCCATCGTTTGCTTTTTCACCCGCTCTTTCTCATTCGCTGCCCCGATTTTCTATATGAAATTTTTCGATATTCTTTTTTTTTTGTTTCCCTAAATGTACATATGAATATTATTTCTAACTATCAGCCGTTAGCGGGACAGGATCGCATTCTTACGCCCACCTTTCTGCGGGTCCAAAAATTAAGCCAATTGTCCGACTTGGCTCACCGGTTACATTTCAATTCAACTTGCTAATGAACCCGTTGGTAATATGACACATTTCGAGAATTTATTTCATTCAGTTAATGTTTTTCCTTGTACAGAAATTGCGCAACTTCCGCGCCTCGCTATGTTTTGTGTGGTTGACGTCAAAAATTGTAAGGGAACGTTGGGAGAGGGAACGAGCGAGAGAGGTTGTGAAAATTTTTCAAAGCCATATGATTTCGAAATAATTCCGCACTCTCTCATAGCTCCCACTATTTCTTTGACTCACACAAAACATAGTGGAAGGCGGAACCCGGCGAATGTCGGGTCTTGAAAATATGTATAACCACATTGGGTCATTGAAAGTTATGATCTCCTTTATTACGAGTATATAATCCAAGTACAAAATTTGTTTACCTGTATAGTATCCGGAGTTGTGAAGAAATCATGAAAATTTTTGTAATTTTTGGAAGTAAGACCCACCGAAAGATGGGCGACAAACTTGGATTGCTGTAATAAAAGTACAAGTTCAGAAAATTTAAGAATCTAGTTTTATTTTTATTTCTAGGTAAGGTTGTTAAGGGGGGTCAGAACTTTGGGATGTAACCTACAGTACTAGTTGATTTTGATTGTTTTTAGGAAACTAGAGCTCGGCTGTCAAGTTTCCGATCACTTTGAAAGTTGCGGAGAATGTGAAACAGATCTAGATTGAAAACTTTGCTTTCACAGAAATTTTCGAAAACTCCCCGTTTTTCAGCTATTTGCCGTTTTCCGAAAGACACCTGTTTTTAGTGTTTTAAGTACAAAAAAGGGCCGTGAACAGGGGTCTTTCAGAGATTGGCCAATAGCTTAAAAACGAGGCATTTTAAAATATTCTGTAATTGCAAAATTTTCAACCAAGGTCTGTTTTATATATTCCCAAATTTTCAAAGTGATTGGAAACTTGACAGCCGAGCTCCAGACTATTGAAAATGGCCAAAATTACCAAAAATCAACTGAAAATATGTATATCTTATTGACCTTTATACCTTTCTTATAGTGAGTCGTTTTGAAGCAGTATTTCATTATTGTTCATCTGTTTCGTGTGGATTTGAATTATGAAACTTTCGTTTTCTCTGAAACTAACTGTAAGAACTTTCCCATTTTCCCTACTATCCTCGCTCGATGCAAACCCCGTTTTTTTTCAAAGTGCTTTATTTCATTTCATAAACGAGTGCAACTTATTGACTAGGGGTGAAAGATTTTAGAACTATCTAAATGTAACGGAGGTCTGAACAAGACTTAATTTTTGGAACAAGACCCACCGTACGGTGGGCAATATTTATGTGAAGAAACCAAGGAACATCTCCGGAAAACTTCAAAATTAAAATTTCGAATATAAAAAATGGGGCATCATGTCGCTGCTGTTCCGGATTATCATTACTAATAACATTCACCAAATTCCGTTTGTTGGTTTGTATGTCGCGTCAATGTTAACCTATTCAAAGTTAACCTATTGAGCTGAAACCCGCTAGGGTTCGCGAACCGGGAACAAACGAACACACACACACCGACAGAATTTGATTATTGTTAATAGCAAAAATACATCTTCTCTCATTCCACTTTCTCCAAATCATATTACTTCGCAATGATTCTGCACTCTCTCATAGTTCACACTATTTCTTTGACTCCCCCCTTTTGCCCACAAAACATAGTGGAAGGCGGAACCCGTTGCTTGTCGGAACCAGTGTGTGACCACCGATTGTCACTCACCGGGAACGGCTTTTTTGGTAATT